AAAAAAAAAAAAAAAAAAAAAAAAACTACGGAGCAATCGAAGACTCATGGATATTGTACCGAGTTCAAGTCTGGATGGGGCTAACGTCACGTGATAACTACATTTCACTCCCATGTCATGAATGGGAATACAAACCTACTGTAAGAATTAACTCCACCTTTTTCAATATATTGAGAGGAGCAATATATAATTTATTAATAATGTTACACCTACAAGAAAATTTCAAATTCGCAATAAAATTGCTTAAAATTTCCAATTCGCAATAAAAATTGCTTTGACTTCACCTAAAGACTAATAAATATACAGAAAAGGGAAAACAAGGGGGGATTAGTTTTACAGAAAAAAGACTCTCAAGGTAAAATTGAAACGAACCATTTCACCCATTGAGATTGCTGCAGATTGATTGACAAAACAATACATCCGAATTCAATGCAAACTGCATAATTGCACAATGATGAGTCATGCTCTTGTCAAGTAAAAGAGTGTGTCGTAGTGATCAGAAACAATCCTCAGTTCAAATGCCACAGTGATTTTACTTATCACCACCACCAAACATTCCCATCATATCTTTAGCAGATCCCATCTGCTTCATCAAGCTTTGTAACCCACCCATGCCTCCGATTTGCTTTAGCATCTGCGGAGGAAGGACTTTGCTCATGTGTTGCGCATTCATATTTCGGGATAAGGCGCTCATCTCACCCTTTTTAGGTATTTTAAGCCCTTTCATTTTGCTCCATATCTTTGCAAGACGTTTGTACTCTTCCAACATTTCCATTACTTCCCTAACTGGACGACCAGAACCTCGAGCTATTCGCATCATTCGTGACTCATTCATGAGCTTTGGGTTTGAACTATCCAACTCTGGAACCATAAACAATTAAAGGTTAGAAGGTGAAATAGATTTAGTATACAAAAAGTTGATGTCCTCAAAACGGCCAAAACAAGAAGAAAAAAATTATAATGCTTGCCTTCATTTGTCATTGAGTCCATCATTGTCATGTAACGCTTAATTTTTGCCTGGCTTTCCTTCTCACGGCCTTTTGGCATCAATTCAGCACTAAATCCTGGTAGCATAGAAAAGACCTACATAAATCAACCAAGAAATGTCACCAAAATAAATTGAGCAGAACTTCATTACACAGTAACCACGCAGTCATTAGTATCTGTTTAGTGCATCAAATATAAAATTGTGTGTAATAAATTTAATAAACATAACAAGGAGGTAACCTGGCTGATGGGACCCATTTTAAGTATGTTCTGAAACTGCTCATACATAATCCTCAAAGTGAAGTTTCCTTCTGACAGCTTTTGAAGCAGTTCAGGCTGTTGATCCATAGGAACAACTTCATGAATTTTGTCCATGAACCCAGACCAGTCTCCCATGCCTAGTTTAAAAGTCATCAGACAATGCTAAAAAATAATATTTAAGGGAAGTGACACGTGAATATCATATGCTTAAAATAGTGCACGTGACCCAATACTCTCCATGTCAAGGAAAAAGCCAGAAAGTACACACCTAATAGACGACTGACAAATGGTTTAACATCAAAAACTTCAAATTCATCCATGTGTTCTCCAGTTCCAATGAATATAACGGGACTTTTTGTTGCTGCCACACTGCACTCACAACATCAATTAGATTCACAAATCATGAGATTAGGATCCAAAACACAACACCCAAACACAAGCAACGCACATGGTATTTACATGAGTTGATTTTAAATCATATAAATTTAAAACAATTATCATGATAATACTTACGCACTAAGAGCACCACCACCCTTTGCGTGGCCATCCATTTTAGTGACAATGACAGCTCCAACTGCAACACTCTGTTTAAATGCTTGAGCCTGATCAAAAGCAGCCTGACCGATGCTGCTATCCATAACAAATATAACCAGATCTGGTTTCTGAAAATGCAACAAAAGATATTAGAGATTATTGAATTTTTGAAATAGAAATTAACCCATCCAGTATCCACATAAAATACCGTTGCTTCTGAAACTTGGCGCATTTCTTCAAAAAGAGCAGCTTCTTGCTTGTGCCGCCCACTAGTGTCAACAATTATCAGATCACAGTTTTCTTTCTTGAATCTTTCAACCCCTTCCACAGCAATTTTCACAGGATCTGACTCCATATAGCTGCAAAAGAATGGGCCATGGCAACCATAAAATCACGTGAGCATGAAGACCATAGGCAATGAAATGCAATTGATATAGAAGCAAGGCTGCTGTCATGAAAGATAGAACACGCACTCACCCACCCACCCGTCCACCCAACAAATGAAAACAAAAGAAATCATAAGATAAAAATCCAAATAGATCCTTGGGACTTGGGAGAAAGAAAAAAAGAATAATTATTTTAATTATTGATTTAATTGATGTTTTGTGTTGGTAATAAAAGATCTTCCAATGGAAAAATGATATAGCATGTCTATGAGAAAGATTGTAATCAAGCCATCAATGGTTTTAATAGGCAACTTATCTCCTTTTCCTTAGTTTCTTTTCCTCTCATTTTCCTAAGCCTTCCTTAGAAGAAATAACATAAGAAAATGAAAAATAATGAAAAAGTGTATGCCAATTTGGGAACATTGGAATCTGAACAACAAAATTTGACAATGGGATCAAAGAATGTATGTACAAGCCAGAATTTCTGAAAAAGAGAATGAGAACAACCAAATCTGGACCTCAATAGTTAAAAATGATTGGACATCAATCTCACCCTGTTCTTCACTTATGACTTAATACATGAAGCCAAATAATATCCCAAAACAAGCTTTCAATGTCCTTAATCACTCACTAGAAGGCCAAAGTCTTTACAAAAAACAAATTATTAAATTCTAACCCAACATAAAATAGTAGACTGCAAAGCAATTCCGATCTCCAAAAAGAATAGCCAGTTCTCTTGGAATACTATTCATCTAGCAGTTTCAAGAGTCATAAGGAACACAAGCATCCATCCAAGGCACGATCTTACATAGAAATATAACAGCAAATGTACCTCATCAACAATTCAACACCTCAGCTTGAGTATCAACAAGAATATATGCACAGCAGCAACAAGTGCGAGCGTGTACCTACCTTCCATAGAAAGGGATCTTGGCTTTAGTGGCGTTTTGCTTCAACTGATCAAAAGCACCAGCTCTGAACGTGTCCGCACACACCAGCGCAGGCTTCCACCCTTTCTTCTGATGATAATACGCGTATTTCGTACACGTCGTCGTTTTGCCAGATCCTGATAAAAACACAGAATCATCCATCAATCATATTTCCATTTACTCAAAACGCACAACGCAACAGGGATTAAAAAGAAACCTTGCAAGCCGACGAACATGACGACGCTGGTCTTGGCCTTCTTGGGAGTGAAAGAGGGTTTTCCGGGATCGAGGATCTTGCAGAGCTCGTTGAAGACGGCTTGCTGGATGATCCTGCGCTTGTTGTGGCCGGCGGCGAGGTCGTCGAGGTTGACGATCTTCTTGATGTTGCTCTGCATGTCGCGGACGAGCTTGAATTGCACGTCGGATTGGAGAAGCGCGCGAGTGATGTCGTTGAGGCAATCGTTGAGAACCTTCTCGTCGATGATCGTCGCATTGCTCATCTGCTGAAGAGCACGCGAAATGCTACCGCCTAGCTCCGCCAGAACCATCTTCGCCGACCTTCAGATTCCGCCGATTGATTCTCTGCTTTCGAAAACTAGGGTTTGCACCACCTTCGCCGCCGGTGAAATAATCCAAATCTGAAAACTCCCACTACGTCGTTTCGCGTATACACGCACGCACGCACGCTCCACCTTCACTATCGATATTTTTAAATTCTGACTAAAATCGACAAATAAAAATCTACTGTAAGTTATAATTTAGTATAAGTTATGAATTACAATACAAAAACCATGCTAATTTTCACACTCTAATTAATTAGTGAAAAGATATCTCTAAACTATTTTAAATTAATCTATTTTTTATTTTCTTAATTCTTCTATTTTTTATCTTTAAAATAAATTTTAAGAATTTGTAAAATTATAATTAAAAAATCTTATATATTAAAACTTAAATAGCTATATGTCAGTGTCACACCCAATCCATAAATATATTATAAGTGCAAATGTGCTATCAATAATATGGTTAAATTAAAAATAATAAGTATATTGTTGAAATAAAAGACATGAAATAATAGTATTACAATTGACATTAATAAAACTATATTAGGAGTTTTAATAAAATTAAGTTTATACTAAACTATAGCTCTAAAGAAAACTAAGACGTCTTATAAATATTTTTACTAGATCATCCAACGATTAATAAATATTTAAGCGTCCGATATTATATATTAGTTTTATAATTTAAGCGTTGAAAAATGCTTATTTTATGAGATTGTAGTTAGTATGATACACTCAAAAAATACATGAATGTTATATTTTTATCTATGCAACTAATGAACACACTATTTTAAAGAAAAAAAATATTATTTATCATTTTGTCTTATGCAAAAAAAAAAAAAGTATATATTGCTTATGCAAATATATAAAAAATAATTCATAAATGCTTAGCTAAAAAAATAATGTGCAAATCTATATCTATAAGACAATTGTAATAGTGGTAGATTTTATTTTTTTTACCATTTTTGTGAGATGTTTTTATTATTTTTAATATTAGTTTAAATTTTTTATTACCATTATTTTTATTCATTATTATTTAAGAAACATACATGGATTAAAAATAACTATTCATTTTATCAGGTACAAAAATAATAAACAAAATTAAAATTTAAAATAAGTGACACCTACAACATCAACAATATCAATGAATATTGAGGGCTGAAAACCTAGACTACTATAGTCATATTTGATGTAGACTTTATCATGGATAACATTTGTGCAACTATTCTCTTTACAAAGAGTGTGAATAAAGGGGATGTTTCGATCTCAACTCATAAACTCCTGAATCTTATTTATGACAGTAATATAAGGATAAAATGAAATATCCTAAGTAATGAGTTGGAGGGCAGACAATGAATTTGATTTACATAGAATATCACAAAGATTCATGTCCTAAGGAAGTTAAGTCTCTTTCAACAAAGCCAACAATTCTGCAAAGAGGCTTGTAGCCAAGTTGAACAAACTTGAAAAACCTATTATCCATTCTTCAACTGAATTACGTAAAAGAACTCCATAATTTGCAAGTCTTGAGTTGTTGATGGAGCTGCCATCCACATTAAGTTTAAACACATGTTTTAGAGGGTAAATTCAAAAAAATGTTATCCTTAACAAAGATATTGTAGAAGTCAATGTGTAACGTAGCAAGTTGTTTTAGCAAGCCCAATATAGGTGATTTAGTAGCCCAGAACGGGCCGTTCCCAATCTAGAACGGGCCGTTTCAAGTTATTAAATTAACCTGTAAATCGTAGTTGAGAACGGGCCGTTCTGGATGGAGAACGGGCCGTTCTGTATGGAGAATGGGTCGTTCTGGATTCGGTACAGGCCGTTCTGGCCACTCCAGAATGTCTATAAATAGGGGTTGTGGGCAGTGAGGAGAATGTGAGTTTTTAGAGAGAAGTTTTAGAGAGAAGGTCTTTGGGTCTGTGAGCTCCTTTCTCTCCCAAATTTCTCTGTATGATTCCTTTTCTCCTCTAGACCACTAATGTCTTCTGTCATTTCTTGAAATGCATATTAGAAAACTTGCTTTGAATGGATTGAAGTTCCAGGTTGAGATTCGAAGGAAAATTCTACTTTTGTTCAGTTTTTGGCTATCTGAGCCAATCTTCAGGTGAGGGAAGCTAGAATGTAAATTGTTTAATTTCAGGAGAGTTAGGGAAGTTCATGCATTGTTTTCCTTGAAAATGGTTAAGTTGTTGGGTGTGGATTGAGTAGTTGTTGGCTTAAGTTGGTCATATGTTGTGTGTTGATAATATGTGTTATGTTGTTAAAGTTGTTATACGTTGTGAAACTAAGTTGTTTTTATGTTGTTTATTGTTGAGTTATTAATAAGTTGAGATGTATAAGTTGAAGTAGTTTAAAGTTGCAAAAGTTGTTTAAAGTTGTATAAGTTGCCTATTATTGTAAGATGTTTATAGTCGTATTGTTGTAAGTTGCTTATGGTTGTAAGATGCCTATTGTTGTATTGCTGTAAGTTGCCTATTGCTGTAAGATGTCTATTGTTGTATTTTTGTAAGTTGTATATTGTTGTAAGGTGCCTATTGTAACATTCCAAAATTTTATTTATGTATTGGAATTAAT